GGGCTCCCCTGAGGATGAGGGGTCAGAGGTCAGCAGTGCAGGGGTTCCGGTCAGGCTGGAGACGAGAGAGGGCTGGGTGGGTGGATAGGAAAGCACTAAGGAATTTCCTGTGTCTCTCTGCTGCCCCGCTCACTGTCTTCTGATGCGCCTGTGGAGAAATTACCCCCCCAGTTCTGAAACGCAGACGCCCTCTCCCGGACCTCCGGTGGTTCATGGTGCCGGAAATTTGACTCCAGGACGGACAGCCCGGTTCTCCATCGTGGTCGTCCTCTGGGCCCCGAACCGCTGCAGCTCAACAGCCTCCGACAGGCAGTTCAGAGGTCTCCAGTTTGACGACAGGCCTGGGCCGGCCCGGTCAGCGTTGCTTTTAAAACATCTGTCTCTGCCTCTCTCCTCCTTGAAAGCTTCCTCTCCCTGACCCCCCCCCCCTGCCAGAGACCGTTACCAGGCTCCCGGTTTCCATGGGAACCCCAGAGGGCCACTCAGACAAACAGCGAGATGTAAACAAGGCCCGTTGCAGCCATCACAGGAGCTCGTCGGACACCTAAAATGGCTGCAAGTCGTCTGCTTGGGGACCCTGGGCTCTGCCGGCGTTTCAGCCGCAGAGAGACGGCCCAGTCTGTCTCCGCTTGAACCAGGAGCCGCGAAAGTAAACAGCCCCCACGGCCCAGTACGATCAGATTAGTCTGTAAAGCTGAAAATAAAAAAGACTGGCGAGGAAGCTCTTAAGGAAATATCCTCACTTTCTGGAATACTTGGGCCACACTGCCCCCTAGTGTCCTTGCAGGAATATGCTTGTTCTCTAACTCCAGCTGCCTTTGTGCGGACATGTGAAGACATACCTGTGTCTGGTCAATACTGGGATAACCCGATCCTCATATATAAAAAAACTGGGTCCCGGTCGGGTTTCAGAACAGTGACAACAACTCGGCAGCCCCGAGATTCGAACCTGCAGCCCCAGTGCTGGGAACATGAGCCTCGGAGGGGTGCAGAGCAGGGCTCTCAGTCCTGCTGCTAGTGTCTTCCTCACTGCCCTTAATGGCTTAACTGAAGCCTTCATTGGAAAAGGTGTGCGATCGGAGGTTTTTTTTTTTCTACAGTTTGTGATTTTACTTAGGAAATGCAATCGTTCAGAGGCGACCTCCAAAACTTTTATGAACTGAGAACAGTTCAACAGTCCAAATACATCCTATTATTACTGTCTGTGAAGGTTTCAGTTGGAAAAATTCAGAGCTTGGCCTTTTATTATTATTAAGAGGTGTTAGTGGGGCCAGCAGGGGGTGCTCAGCCTGCGGTCTGTGTGGGTCCTAATGCCCCAGTATAGTGACGGGGACACTATACTGTAAACGGGCACTGTCCTTCGGATGAGACATAAAACCGAGGTTCTGACTCTCTGTGGTCATTAAAAACCCCAGGGTGTTTCTCGGAAAGAGTAGGGGTGTAACCCCAGTGTCCTGGCCAAATTTCCCCCTGGCCTTTACCAGTCATGGCCTCCTAATAACCCCCCTCTCTGAACTGGCTTCATCACTCTGCTCTCCTCCCCACTGAGAGCTGGTGTGTGTGAGAGGACTGGAGCATCATCCAGGTGGGGCTGCACACTGGTGGGGGTGGAGGGGATCCCCATGACCTGTAAAGAGCTCTGAGTGGAGTGTCCAGAAAAGCGCTATGTGTGTAAGCAATTATTAATATTACTATTATTATTATTGTCTCACTTGGGTGCATCACAGCTTCTCTCCAGAAGAGGGCGCTCTTACCTAAGCCGCCTGACTGACTTTTTTTTTGCAAAAGCATTTACAGTCGATTTCTTCCCGGCTGGGGTCGGTGATATTAACCGCCTTCCTCTTCCTCGCAGGAGTGTACATCCTCATCGCGGTGGGGGCCGTCATGATGTTTGTGGGATTCCTGGGCTGCTACGGTGCCATACAGGAGTCCCAGTGCCTTCTGGGTACGGTAAGTGGATCTGGCTCTTGTGGCAGCTCGATGCCCCCCTCGCACCCCACATCTCTGGATCATGCTGGTGTGGTACATGCAGAAGTGACCCAGATCCTTACAGCCAGTGGAAAAGGAGAAGCCCGACGCCGTCCAATCTGTAAAACTGTCTCCGTTTTCTCTCTCTCCTCTCAGTTCTTCGCATGCCTGGTCATCCTGTTCGCCTGCGAGGTGGCCGCTGGGATCTGGGGATTTATTAACAAGGACCAGGTAATCCTGAAAATCCCGCTGACGTAGCCCTGTGGCTTCTCGGATCGCCCTTCCGCTTGGGCCCGGAAAACATTCCCCGCTGAGACAGCTGATCCCCGTCGGGCTGAATTTGGGGGAAAACTACCTGTGGCGTTGCTCAATGTGTTTCTTGCCCGTCTTGCCAAGTCTCAGTGTCGTAAAAGCCTCCGTCATCGTCTGTGTGGGCCTTCGGATTCTGGTGGAATTGTAACAACAGCCGAATCCGATTCCCGCTGAAACTGAACTCAATCCGACTTCGGCGAAGTCTGAAAAGATTGAGATTCCTCCTCTTTTAACTTATGACAGAGTGAAAGAATGTTCTGTAAAAGACTTGAAAGAGCAATGGACGACGTGCTTTTGGGGGTGATGACTGCTTTGCTCCTCTGCCCGGGAGGTGCTGGTGTCTTCGATGGCTGCTTGGAGTCCCCGGTCGAGAGGATTAGAAACACAGCGAACTGCCCGTTTCTTTTCCCCCTCAGATTTCCAAGGAGATGATTAAGTTCTACGATACAGCTTATGACAGGGCCACTCTCGACACCTTGGTTCAGGAGGAGAAGAAAGGGGCGAAAGAGGTGCTGAAGGTGTTTCACGAAACGGTGAGCCTCCCTTTGCCTCTCTGACTCTGTCCTCACTGGCTCTGGCACTGTCCTCACTGTCCTCTCTGACTCTGTCCTCACTGTCCTCTCTGACTCTGTCCTCTCTGACT